AAGCCTGTAGAAATCTTTGGTGTTCACATAGTTTTAACCAATCAGTAAACCCTACATTTTGGTTTCTTGATCACCCTCACCCTCATAACCATCCTCTTTGTTTAACAAAATTGGTGTAGCTCCTGTGATTGTGGAAGTTGTATATATTTTGCTTTGCAGTAATTCCATCTAGTTTTAATGCACTGTACACCCGCAGGCGATATGAAGGTAAACGTCGGACCGTCAAACGGTGCGTGATATCAGCGCCATGACGCGGCTGCCGTGGCGGCTCGCTTTCTTATCGCTCGCTTCGCCGAGATTAAGCGCTTAGATTGAGCGCTGTTCTCAGCTGTGATGCTACTCCCCGCAGAAAGCGTGGAAAAGGGTTTCAATTTCGGCATCGCTTTTTGTGGGCGCCCTTCCCACGTCATTGCCGGCAAATGATTTGCACATTGCACGTGAACTAGAGCGGACGTTCTTTGGCATGTTTTATCAGCGACTCAACCGCTTTTTCATTCATGAGTGAACGCTGTACTTCCTTTCTGCTTAAGTCCGAGCGCGGCCTATGTTACGAGCCGAATGGCCAGTCATACAGCGCAAAAAGCGCAGCGTCATGGCGTGCTCTCTACGCTTAGAACTAGCCGGCAGAGGAGCACGCACAGAGAAACGGTGAATACCGGCTGGTCCTATCAACTGCAGAAAGCACGCCATGACGTTGTGCCTCTTTCGCTGTTTGATTGGCCCTTCGGCTCATGACATCGGCCGCGCTCGGACCGAAGCTGAAACGAAGTATAATAATTGCGAATGCTAATAACTGTTCTTTTTAAGAAACGGAAAGGATAAGTTACTTTTTGATTTGTTCCGCAGCTTTCCGGTTTAGCACATATCACAAAAAAAAAAAAAACATTACTAAATCACATTGTCTTCCGATAGGGTCTGAAAGGCTCCTCCGCAATCCTCGCGCTTTCTGCGGGCAGTAGCAGCAGAGGTGAGAACAGCGCTCGACCCAAGCGCCTAATCTCGGTGAAGCGCGCGATAAAAAGCGAGCCGCCACGGCAGCCGCGTCATGGCGCTGATAGCAGGAACCGGTCGACGGTCCGGCGTTCACCTTTGCTAACTCTGTGACTCAGATGCCTTATTTTAATGGACCAAACCTAGCCAACTCTCAATGGGTTTATCTACTTTTTCTGTAACATGTGTGTGCCTTACTGATAATTAAGCTCATTGAATGGAATTGAAGGGAACCGGGTTGCTGGGCACTCAGAAGCAAGAGTTCTAATAGAGCCCGCGGCGGAAATCAATGGAGATGTCTTTATCAGAATGTGAATGCCATTTTGAAGTTCCAGCAAGAATAGCAAAGGATCGAATCAGTCAATGGACTATTTTCCATTTCATAACTCAGGTGCCAGTGGATTGTACCTCAAGACACCAATGGCGCAAGCGTATACGTCGTCCCGTAAAACGGATCAAAAGTAAGCATGAAGCACGGTGGTACAAATTGCACCTACGTACCCTCGAACCCTCAGGAGACCCTTTTCAAAAGTCGTCAACACACAGGTCGGCGCCATATTTTGGGCACCACTTTTTGCACGAAGCGTGTGATGTGATCCGATTCAGTTCACGCCGAGCGCTGACGCAGTGCTCGTGTCGATTACACGTGGGCCTGAGTACGCGCCGAATGATGACGCTGCACCCTTGTCTGATGTACATGCTGTCCGAAAAAAAAATGTTTTTTTTTCATAGCGAAAATTCAGCGCCAGTGGTCTGGCCCTGGTACCAAAGCTCCAGAACCGACCCTTATCTCATTAAAAAGGTGTAGGGTAATTTCGTTTTAATTTTCAATAGAGAAATGGCGACCGACGAGGCTTTTTGAATATATAGCGCTCAATGGCGCTTATTGCCAAAACGGGCAAAAATGGGCCCCATTTTCCCATTGAAAGTTTCCGAAAAGCACTTGTAAATTTTTATTGAGATAAAGGCTAGTTCTGAAACTTTGGCGTGTTGTTCGGGCCGCTGGCGCTACATTTCGGCGGAGAAGCAGCGTTTGGCGATGCGTAGTTTACTTCTGCAGTGAAAAAAAAAAAAAAACTATTAATTCTTTTGGGGGACACGCTGTATGCTCTGGGTGCGTGTCCAAAAAATAGCGGCCTGGGACGATCGACAGGGTGACCACTGGACGGCGCACGCTTTTGGAAATGGTGTATCGGGAAAAAGAGTGTATACCCTAAAATATAGATTTACTATTTATTTTATATCTAATTTTTTTTTTCAGATTACAATTGTTCGGGGGTCGGTACGTGCGCCAACTTTCCGACATAGTCCCCTGGATACGAATGCACTTGCTCCAGACTTGTGGCAACCTTTCAATTTCCTGCCGGAACCACCCTTTAGGAGCACTTCTGCCCTATGCCTGGACAGCCACTTCCAGTTCGCCGATATCCAATAAAAAGGTACACGCATTTTTTTTTTTTTTTTGCACCGAACGGGTAACTTGATTTTCACTGTGGGCTGCTAGATCGGGCGAATACGACGGGCCTGGCAAACATGAAAATTTAAATGTGGCGATAGTCTCGGTTGTTTCCCGGCTTGTGTGGGGGCGGGCATGGTCGTGCTGCAAGAGGAAACCTCTCGCCCATCTTCCTTGCCGCTCCTTTTTGGATGTCGCGACGCAATCTCCTAGGGGTGGCCACATACGTGGCGCTCTAGATGGTGTTGCCCGATTCCAGCCAATCGATAAGGGCTATGCGAATCCTAAAGCACTGTCACCATCCGCTTTCCGGCCGAGGGCACTGTTCGGAATTTCTTTGGTGGAGGGACTGCCCTTGTTTCCACTACATCGATTGTGCCTTTGTTTCCGATTCATGAAGGTCACCGGTCAAAGCATGGCCATAAAGTTTGCCGGATTCTGGTCGCTGCCTTGCAAAAGCTCGCTGCACCCATGCACCCAATACTGTCCTTGCGCAGGAGTTAGGCATTTGGGCAACCACCTGGCAGAGATCTCCCCCATCTCAAAGTTCTGGTGCGCAGACACAAGATATTTCTGCCGAGTTGAAGTTCAAGTGCATTGCCTTCACCGACATTCCTAGAAAACGCATTCCGTAAGGGGAAGTGAGAAAAAAAAAAGCTTTGAAACACTTTTTATTTCCCTTTTCTCTTTTCATTTCCGAAGATATCCTCTTTCAATTCAGAAAATGAGCTGCACCGGTTATCCAGAATAACCTGCCCTACGCTGCCGATGTCCGTTGTCATTGGTTTCGTTCTAAAATATTTTCTCAACTGAAGCGCGACGTTTTTACAGGCTTCCACCCATATGTAGACCGTATAGACGGTATTTTATGGTGGAGCATGCTCTCCAGACACTGAACCAACCTACCGCAAATGTCGGCCGTAATCGCGCCCTCTTTGCAAGGAAGCCAAAATGTCCGCCCTTGTTGGTAGTTTTCACTGTTGCCCAGGCGTGCACTGACAACGTCTGCGGAAAAAGCGTCTGGTGTCCTGCCACTGCGTCCATCTCGCCAATGCTGCCGCACAAGGCTAGGTTACGGTATTCGCTCCCTGTAACGGTAATGCCCATCCATAAAACCGAATTTGGGCGGCATGTAAGTATACATGTTAAATCGTCCCCCCCCCCCCCCCCCCTCCCCCCCCTCGTAGCTCTTTGGAGACGTTTTCTGATCGCAACTCGCAAGTTTTTCGGTGAAAACCACATAAGGGGGCATCCCCTCCCCCTTCCCTGTCTCCCCTGAAATGCTTTTGTGGAAGGATTCTGCTGATAGCTCAGTCGCAGTTCGACCTCACAGATCAACCGGACACGGATGAAAGCCCTGGCAGGGGTGGTGGAAGTTGAGACGAACTTAAATGCAGCTCATCGACATGAGTTTACGGAGCTGCTGGATTTCTTTCACTGTCCGTGTCCGCGACTCTATAAAGATATGGCGGCTGTGGACACTGTGCGAAACAAATTCATTCGAGGATAAATATGTAAAACATTTCAGTTCTAATGTCGAAATAATTCAACACTACTAAACTACACCTTTTTTTTTTAACGAAGTGTCCGATGTGTAAAGCTTATTTCTAATTTGTAGCCACTACTTTCATTAAATTGCGTGTAACATGTGATAGATCGGTACCATAAAGATTTTTATGCGAAGGTATTCATATTTTGATGCTGAAATGTGTTTGTTTTGTATAGTCGACCGAAGATACTGGGTGGACACCTCGTGCATTCGGAATTAGCCGGTTTTATTATTAGGTTTATAATGCGTGCGGCTTAAAAATTGAAAATACCGGCTGTATAACGGCCTGTCATACGTGCCTCTTGATCGTACAGGTCTACGGGACTTTTCAGTCGAATACGAATAACGGTCCAGAATCCAGGACCACCAATCATAGTACCTGAGTTTGGCTTGTCTGATACCAGTTTTTATCGTAGACTTTAAATTCTTTCTTTTTTCTCTTTTTAAGTTAGCTATTATTGGAATAAAGCTATCCTTTAGTCTTAATAAGTTTCGGTGGACGCGTTCCTTCGCGTTTGAAAGAACGCCTGCGTTGAAAGTTCTTTTAACTATATTTTTTAATGATGCAAAAACCAGGCCATGTAGGCGACGACGCGGTGGACAATGCTCGCACATTGTGATTCATGACTGCCTTTCTACCCATGGCTAAAGTGAGACATCATGATAGAAGCGGCTCCCAATACACTACCCTGACTGCTGAGAGACTAGCTTTTCATCTTGCTTCCCACGTGTTGGATATTTCGTTCCCTGCCGCCGAGGCCACGGTGCCGAACCAGCGGTGCTCCCCATCAAAGGCGGCTTCATCTTATGTGACCGCCTCCCGCCGAGCACAAAGCACGAGCCCCGACGCGCTAATGCGACCCCACTGATGGCCGCCGCCGCTCGGATTTCCCCCCCCCCCCCCCCCCCCCTATGATATGAACGACCCGGGGAAAGAGAAGGAGGCCACGTGACCCCCCTCTTCCTCCTAACCCCCGCGCGGGAGGAAGAGGAGCGCGTGTTCTCTTCTTCCAGTCGGTCCTTGCGCGTTCCCGCCGTCGGACGTCTCTCTCCATGCGTGTGTATGTTTGGAGGGGTGTGCGCCGGGAGGTCACGTGATCCGACGGACGGATGTCCAGCGGCGGCGGCGGGGGGCCAGCGGCGCGCTACACGTGAGCGACGACCCTCGTAGTCGGCCGAACCCCATCGTGGTGGTGCAGTGTGCCCGGTCTTGGATTTCGCGCACGCGGGTTCCTCCCTGCGAGGTATTCGGGGAATTGCGTGCGCGGCGGTGTGTCGGCCGCGGCTCCTCTGACACCGGCAGACAGATGGACTTCGTGGTACTCCGAGTAAGTGACGTTCTTTCGCTCTCCTGGTCTCGTCGGGGGTTCGCGCGCGAGGCCCACTCGTCGACGGGGAAGACGGACGGGCTTCCTTCTCGAGCACGACGTGGACCTCAGTTTGTTTCGAGAGCCCCGCTGTTGCATAAATGCCGTCTGAGCCAAACTCGCTGCCAAATCGTGCGTTCGCCGTCGAGTCCCAGATGGGATCGTTTATATGCTGGCGTTTTGTACAGCCGAAACTAATTAGTGCCCCTTCCAACAAAAGTAAGTGTAAGGAATACGGAAAAGAGGACAAACACATAGAGCATTATCTGCGTCTCTGGTGTGTGTGTGTTACAAGCCCTACAGTCACCACCTTTTTTGTTTATTATGCTAATACCGGTTTGCTTTCTTTTCCGTCATATGTTGATGTTTTTATATACGTACGAAGTATGAGAAACGTGTAGATATTGGCTGAATTCTTTAATAACTGGCTTAGGGTGGAACCTCTGATGCAAACTTAAGTGGACGGTACATTCGATGATCGTTCATTGTTACGCCTTCGCGAGTGGCGATACAGGCGTTGTTAGCAAAGCGCTGTCAGACGAACAGAGGAAAGAGCTCAAGGACGACGACTCCGGGGGAAGTTTGCAAACAACGGCTGCGCTGGGAGTTTCCGCGTGGCTGTGTCTGCCGCCTTGCGCCAATCCTTCGACACTCTTACACATTCTTACGCTTAAAACATTTGGAAAAAGAAAACTATTATAATCATAATGCGTGCATTCACTACGCAGTACTTTTTAATCTAATGCATCAGAAAAGCATGATTTCGTCGTAATATATTTCTAAGGATAATTAGTGACAGTGAAGAGAAGTAAAAGAAATAAACCTAGAATATTTTCCTAACTGGTCATTATGAAACGAGGGATATAAAGTTAGGAAAAGAATTGTGTCCTCGGCGTGAAGTCACCCACATTCGCCGTCAGGGTGCCGCACCTAAGCTTCTCGAGGCAGATAGTCTTTGACATTTTGTAACTACCTAGAGTTCTAGACACTGCGAAATCGGCACATTCACTAATAACGCGCTGCCGAGACAGTAATTGTGTGACTGAAACGGCTTCCTCTCTCTTTAGGTAGCCATTGCCAACAAAACTTCCGGCTCTTATTATTTTTTCTTGTTGCGTCCCCTTTGGCATGGGGTGACAAAAATCAAAAATTCATCGCTCACGACCCCTTGCCTTTTCGCATTTATTTAAAGTGATTTTTCCTGCGATAGCAACGGCCCCTAAAGCTGCAATTGAAATATTGTCTATTAAGGCATTATTTCAAACGATAGTGAAAATAGAATAAACAATTAATAAATTAATAGCCTACTAATCCTATCTACTTATCCTAGTCTAGATATTGGGTATTTTTATCAAACCATATTTGTCGGTCCTGATGCAGATTCAGTGAAGACAGTGGTTATTTGCCGATCATCACCACTTTTTTTTAATCTTTCCAAATTGAAATTAGACTCGCTCCAAAATGAAAAATTCCAGATGTCCCCGTATCAATCATTTTGTTCCGCTCATTACACTTTTCTTTTTCGTGGTTGAACGCCCTGATTGAGGGAATTAGCGCTTCGTATTCCTCGCATCGATTTCCTTCCGCCGCTTGACTTGTCTGGGATCGCTAATCTTTCTCTGTCCACTACTGGAAATGCGTTCTGTTCACTGCGTTAAATTAACGGGTTCAGGAGAACGCAATTAAGAAAGAGAATATAAATTAGATTAGGGAGGGAAACCCGGCCTTCACCGGGTGTTTTCAAATCTCGCAGGGGTAATGTACACGGAGGGTATGCAAAGCACGCTTCAGCTACTTTTGGGGGTTCAGAAGTGAGTGAGGAGGCAGGCGTGGGGAAAGCAAACGGATATTTCACCCACCCTGTTTTGTTCTTTTGTTTTAAGCTTTCTCTTTCTGTCTCACATTCTTCTTATTTCTCTTCGGGCCGTACATCTCCGTTTCGATGCCTAGACTGATTGCAGCGTTTCTCAAGATTAATCGCAGATGATTACATCCGCCCCACTTTAAAAAAGTCGGTTTGGTACGAGGTTTTAATATCCGCCGATACTGCTTGAGAATATGTTCGCCCAGGTGCCCCGAAAGCTGCTTGGAGTTTGTGCTACACAAATAACTTAAAAGGAACACTTTACCGTATTTCATTTTAGCTAGCTTTCTTCTCCCTCTTTGCAGCGCACTCTCTCTCCATCTGTATCTCTCTATTTCTCCCTCCTCTAAACTAAGAGGACACATAGTCACATCTCCACTCTTAAAGGACCGTTGAGAAACTTGTCACTACTTAAGACCGTATCGTTAAAAGATATTAAAATACCTTAAGACGATGTAACATACTCGCGTTATCTTTCGAGAAACTGTAAAACGCTCAGTATCTGCCTTAGATCTCTTTTTCCGCATTATTTTTATTCGTTTTGGATTGAAAACGTTTGACAGTGTTATAAACGACTATTTCGCATATTGTACGCACATCTGATGTCGAAAATACCGCAAAACCTTGGCTCTTCTGGGATGTACTTCCGGAAGCACCGTGTACGCTCCTTGCACTGACGTCACATCGCACACTTTTGAACACCATGTAAAAGGGGGAGAGGGAGGCTGCTTTTGTAAGAATTTTGAGTGACAAAGTAATCTTCTATAATCTTCTGGGAGGAGAATAGCGACGCCTGTGCAAATCCGGGAGGCACAAAGGAGGATCCTGATAAGAGGGGAGCTCCTTCGTCCCCTTTTCTCTGGAGGGCATCGGAAATTACGTCATGTGGGTACGACCGTCTGCGCAGCGGTTGTAAGTAGTGACACGAGGCTTAAAACCGGTATTTAGGCTCTCCTGTCGCTACCAGTCGCAAGTGCGTGAACGGGACTTTAGATCTTGAATTTGCCCACACGAGCTGCCTAACCAGGCTTTGGATTTTCAACGTCTGCGAAAGGAGGCCAGACCAGGTTAGACAGGAGTCACAGGACTGCGTCGTCAGCGTTTGGCAGGACTCATGTCCAAACAGGGAGGACACGATTCCCCTGCCGACCGCTGACGCGAAACTCGTGTCCAACCTGTGCCTTACCCAGGTCTTGGGTATGGGACGCGAAAATTTAGAACCTTGCTACCCAGGAAGTATTGCTTTCGCCTTGCCGAAAATCCAGATTCCTCGTCTGCCTCTGGTCGAGTGGCCTCAAGCTATTGAGATCCAGGGAGTTCTCTGGAGGATGCATCTGATGGACGCAAAGTTTATTACGAGGAAGTAAACTCTTGGCTGCCTGGTTTGATCGAGAGCGAATGCAGGGGTTTTGAGGCCGAGTGGTTCTCATGTAACCATAAATATTTAGGGCAGTGTGCGTTCAAACCTGACCGAATCGTCACGCGTAGAATGTTCCCTGTGGTCACTCTGTCTCGGTGCAATCGTTTACGCACCGAGAGTCAAATTGCGATCCCCGACGAGAACGCTGTTAGTTGTCACCGTGGTCCCATTATCGCTTACGCCAGGCAACGCAAATGGGACGCCACTGGCGCCTCGGTCTCCCGGCTCATGCTTTTGCTATCTTAACCTTTTCAAAAACGTGTTCTACGATAACATATATATAGTGCACGACACTTTAGTCAGTGACGAGGTTAGAACGGCAGGGAGGAGCCTGTGTTCTCGAGCTTCCAGCGCGCACGAAGCACGGCTGTAGAAATGGTACGCGTGCTGAAGTCCTGGCGTTCGGCACGTCCTGCCGTTCTCACTCCTTCAGCGACTATATTATGCGTCAAAACACATATGTGCAATCAGACAAGTGTAGAAGTCGCCGGGTTCTGGCGTGCTACCCCGCAATATGAAACGGGCGTTTGTCAATGGAAATCTCGTTTGTGCGCTCTCCATTTGGTGTTTTCCCCACTCTCTTGCCTATTCTCTCTGTACACCACTGGGAAGGAACAACCATACAAAAGGCAGACCCAGAACCCCCGAAACGACGGATCGGGTTACGTGTAAGGAGCGAGTTCTTTTTTCGTATAACCTCCTCCGACGCCGCGAAGTTGTTTCTATGGAAGAAGCTCATGTTCCACTGCGAAACAAGGAATCGAAGGCGAAATTCCCAGGGAAGGTTCAGAATGGTTGTCGCTGATTGGCTTCGAGACATAGCAGCACGCTGGCCCCTTTTCTGAGGCTTCCCAGGACGCACCCTTTTGGGTTTATGTTTGGATGATTCCCACTCTTTCACGCAGGAATGCAGCTGTACAGAAAACAGTGGTGGCAGTAATGGGATAAGTTTGAGCTTTATTCGAAATTTCCAACTAAAGAACGCGCATTTAAATTGTGTTTCAACCACGTTATCTGTAATATTTGTTCATCCTCGGAAGTATAATACATTAAGGCAAAGTTTAATGTACTTCCTTCCAAGCGACTAGTACTTCCCCTTACCCGAAATACGAAGGACCCAACGAGAAGTCTCGCGCGGGAGCGTCCATTACACTGCACGCGAACGAGCAATGATCTCTTTCTAGGAGGATAATGCGCAGTCCGGTTGGGGGGGGAGGCTTCCGTCCATATAGAGAACGGTTTCACGAAACGATTTCCCCTTTCCGACCAGCCATCGGACTGCCGAATCGTTTGCGCCATTACTCTGTATTTGTTTGCACGTTAAAAAGTATTTATAGCGACTTTATTTTTTTTTCTTTAGTTTACATGTTTTAGACGCATGGCCGTGTCTCCGCCGACGACGGAACTCACGAGGAGCGATTGGTGACTTATTTTTTAGGTTGCATAAAACCTCGTTTTCTCTGTTTTTCTAACTTGTAGTATTCTACAAGTACCTGGGGGAGTGACTTAGGGTGCCATACAACGCTCCAGGAAAGGAACATTAGTTGAGTCCGGAGGAAATATGGGAAATAATCCCATATTTGGTGTTTACTTAAAATCTCTAAGCCAAGGGTTTGCCGTATACAACCAAAAGGAGTCACATAAGGAGCATTGCTTAGTTCCCCCAAAGAAAATAGC